TTTCTTCCTTTTGGTTTCTGCCCTGCTGAGGTTGGTCCAGTGGTTTGTGTAAGCTTCTTATAGGGTGAGAGTTGTGCTGAGTTTCTGTGTGCTTGTTGTTTTCCTCTGACTGGCAAGGGGAATGAGGTGGCAATCCTGTCTGCTGATGACTGGGTTTGTATTTGTGTTTTGTTTGTTGCTTGGATGAGGTGTCCTGCACAGGGTGTTACTGGTGGTTGGGTCTTGTATTCAGGTGGTTTCCTTTGTGTGAGTTATCACTATTTCATACTCCCTAGGGTTAGTTCTCTGGTAGTCTAGGTTCCTGCAGTCAGTGATTCCATTCCAAACGTTCAGGGCTTGATTTCTGGTCAGAAAGGAAGATTCCACAAGTGATTTTCATGACATTAAGTGAGACTAAAACCAATACCCCAAGAGAATAAACCCAAGATGAACTGCAGGCAAATGGCAGCTACAAAGTCAGGCAAATAATAATTACAATAATGGAATATACACACATGAATATACACACATGAGCAAAGTAAAAACAGCCCCCCAAGAAATAAAGTACAGTAGATTGACTCAGCCAACAAAGGAAAAAAAAAAAATTGACCAGTTAAGAACAAAATTAACTAAAGCACAAACTGGAAGTGAAAACTGAAGCAAGGTACCAAGGGGGGAAGAAAGAAATGAAAATAAAAGTAACAAATATGTTGAGAGGAAAGGAAAGAAAGAGAAGAAAGAATAGATATGCAAAGCTTAATAGAGGTAGATAAAGATTTATATACATTAAGGATTAACTGCAAGTTGGAAAGAATAATAGGAAAAGCAAATATATAAATAAATGTAGAAAAAAATCATAATTAAAAAAAATTAAAATTAAAAAGAGAGAGAGAGGAAAAAAAGGTAAAATTCCACAGAACTGGTAAAGCCCAATGTAGAGGCATAGGTTTATAAGAATAAAAAATGTGACTGAAAAAATAATATTAATAATAATAAACATAAAAAGCTTATTAAGATTTCATAGTGAAAATGAAATTGACAACTACAATAGATTGGGGGGTGGGGAGGAAAGAAACAAATTCCAAAAGAATCTACAGAACAAGTCAAAAGATAAGAATCTTAAATATTTTACTTGAGTCACTGCTGTCAGAGTCCTTTCCCTCGCTAGGAGTTCCAGTTGACCTCACCTCCCTAGAAGCATCCCTAGGATGCTCTCCCACACTATGCTGATCTCTGGACCAGATGTGGGATCTGTTCAGATTCAAATCTTGTCCTACTCTTGTGTGTTCTTGCCTTGAAGGTCCATAGCTATCAGAACTATTGCATGTTATTCAGTGGATGCTCTCAATGTCCTTTTATATAGTGCTTGGGCAAGGTCGGCCTAGTTGATCACGTGGATTTAATCCACAGCTTGTACAGCTGGTGGGAAAGTTTTGGGTCTTCCTTAGCCAGACTGCCCCCTGGGTTTCAACTGTGTTTTTTGTCCTCACCTCTGCCTGTGGGTCATCCACTGGGCTTTGCTCCTGAGGCTGCCCTGGAGGACTTGGGTTGCCCCGGTGTCCTCCACCGGGGAGGACACACACTGGAGGTGTGTGGAGGTGCTGTGGAGCTGTGGAGGTGCTGCAGCTGCTTGGGTCTCAAGGCTTCTGGCAGCACCAGGTACTCAGGGGAGTTGGTGGCCAGAGCAGCAGGAAATACAGTATTCTAGAAGGGTATGGCAACAAGTATTGGCCAAGTCACTCCAGTATTCTTGCCTGGAGAAACCCCTGACAGACAAGCCTGGCAGGACACAGTCTACAGGGGCCCAAAGAGTTGGACAGGACCAAAATGACCCTGTGCGCATGGACACTTTTTTTTGGCCTGTGGCAGCTCTGCCCCAGTGAGAGATGAGTGTGAAGGGGGCGCAGCTGCTTGGCTTGCAGGGACCCTGATGACGCCAAGTGTGGAGGGACACGGACTGCCTCCGCCGCAGGAGTCAAGGCCCTATCACAATCTTTTTTTGAGGCTCTTGTAGCTGGCGATCAGCAGGCCTCTCTGGTCAGTCTTTCCCCATAGCTCTGCCTGTTCAGGCACTTAGAGAGCTCCTTTGCCTGAGGTCCATCTCTGTTCTTCAGCGGGTCAGGCCCATGGAGGGGCCGCCCTGGCTGGGGTCTTACTCTGAAGATCAGCATGTCAGGCACTGAGAGGGGCACCCTGGGTAGGGTCTTACTCTGTAGTTCAGGGGTCAGGCGCGATTGATGGGCCAGCCTCTCTATTGTTCAGCTGCAGATGCTGGGGTGTGTGGGGAGAGAGGCTATGGTGATGGCTCCCTCTTATGTGTGACTGACTCAGCAGTTACCGCCCTGCTTCCATGGCTGCCTGACTTTCCTTCACAGGAATTTCCCACCACAGTCTCCTCCCTCACATCTCCTGGATCCCTCTCTCCGCAGTCAACAGCAGTCCTCACCCTGGGATTGCTCTACAATCCCTAAACTCCAGCTCCCAGCCGCTGCACCTTCCAGGGCACCTGCATCCCTGTCTGAGGCATGCATGGCTGCAGCAAGGACTGTCTGATTCTCGTTCCCTTTAGGCTGCCACAGATCACCTGTTTCACTCTCAGCATTAAATGTTTCTCCTCTGATTCAGAGAACTGCCCCATTGTGGGGAGCAGACCCCTGCTTCAGTTCCCCCACCCACCAAGGGCAGGTCCAGTCCTACTAACACTCCTGTTTTCCCCCTAGTTCCTTGATCCTGTCGAGTTTTGCGTGGTTCTCTATATTCTTTTCCGCTGGTCAGGTACTTCTGTCCGCTCTCAGCTGGAGTTCTGTATGCACTTCTGTGTCTGAAGGTGTATTCCTGATGTATCCGTGGAGAGAGATATATTCCACATGCACCTACTCCTTCAACATCTTGTTCTCCTTCATTGTAGTTTTGATTTGCATTTCTCTAGTTGTTAGTGATGTTGAGCGTATTGCATGTAGCCCTTCCCCATGAAAATGTTCCTTTTGGAGCATTAGGACTTCTGTCCACTTATTGAGTGGGTTGTTGGTTTATTTGATATTAAACTTTCAAGTCATAAAACACATATGCAGTCATTCTATGCATATCACTAGGTGAAAGAAGCCCATCTGAAAATGCTACAGAAACTATGATGTTTACCATATGACATTTTATTTTCAGCAAATATAGCTATGGTTTTTCTAGTAGTCATGTACAGAAGTGACTTGTTGTTGTTCAGTCGCTCAGTAGTGTCTAGCCTTTTGCAACCCTATGGATTGCAGCATGCCAGGGTTCCCTGTCCTTCGTCATCTCCCAGAGCTTGCTCAAACTTTTCCCACTGAGTCGGTGATGCCAGGCAACTGTCCAAACCATAGTGTCTTCCCTGGTGGTCCAGGAACTAAGTCCTCTCCCTTGGATTGCTCCACAATCCCTAAACTCCAGCTCCCAGTATCACCAATGCAGGGGGCTGGGTTCAATTCCTGGTTAGAGAATTAGATCTCACATTCCACAAGTAAAATTTGCTGCTGCAGCAAAATCTCCCACATGGCGCCAAGATTCTGCATGCTACAAGTAAGAAACAACCAAGCCAAAGAAATAAATAAATGTAGTTTTTAAAAAGAGCTATATCACTGGGGAGAATACCAAAGCAAGGAAAACTAATATCAACATTTCATAGACACAGACATACATTAGAATGAGATTATACTTACTAATAATATTAAAGTAAAGCTTTTCATGTCAATTAAAAATTCAAGATTATTTTTAATGGGTTAAAAAATACACATCTACTTGTGGATGAAAATCTTGGTATATTTTAAATACCTTTAGTGTGCAAACATACATAGCAGTATGTGAGAGCTTTTGGTTCTGAAACTTTTTTCTTGAAAAGCTGTATCATTTGTGTTGAGCTGTATCTTTCACCACAGTTGAAAATCGATTAGCACCAATATGATTGTTGAAAATATTTTAATGAAGAAGGAAATGTCAATTGACTCCAGTATTCTTGCCTGGCAAATCCCATGGACAGAGGAGTCGGTGAGCTGCAGTCCATGGAATCGCAACAGGCAGACATGAGTAGCGACTAAACCACCAGAAACAAATATGTTGAAAAAATACAAAAATGTAGTCAGAAGACTGCCTGTGATATGCATGTGGTGTGTACTGGAAACATCACACCTGGGCTTGAATAATGAAAATTGCCACTCCCAAAACCTGGTATCTATAATCAACACAGGTGAGTGTTCATCCTCAAAAGCAAGGAGAAATCAAGAAGATGGGGAGTTTTTCCATTACTATGAGTGTTTCCACACATTCCTTATTCATTTTTCCACAACCTCGTTTAAAGAGAGAGGAAAGAAGTATGAACTTCATAGCCTCATGATGTCAGAGAGAAATCTCCAGAACCAGTGGGCATCAGATATCATGGTGTAAATAGATCACATGAAAGATGCATTATCACTGCCTGGGCATTTTGGAATTAACAAGGAAATTATAACTTGAATGTAACATTTAAAAATGTCAATTTTATGCAAATTTCATTTCACATATACTCCCCCTGTTTAGTATCCTAATAATGCATTTGAACTAGGAAGTCTTAGTAATGCAAACGACAACATCTCCTAGTTTTCTTTTTATTTCTGAACATTTTCTGAAAAACTCTGGACCACTGAGTTGAGTCACTGGGCTTCCCAGCTGGCTCAGTGGTAAAGAATCTGCCTGCCAATGCTGCAGACGCAGGTCCTATCTCGGGGATGAGAGAACCCCCTGGAGGAGGAAATGGCAACCCACTGCAGAATTCTTGCCTGGAAAATCCCGTGGACAGAAGAGAGTTGGTTCTATGTATAATGGCACTTTCAGACTCTATTTTAAATATCTATTTGCATCCAGGAGCTAAGGCATCACTGCATTTCCCAACGTCCCTAAAATCCCAACACCAAACCACATCCCAGTGGGAGTGAGGATAGGAGTGACTCCCTATGCTGATCTCTCACAAAAAGAATATTTTTAATGGTTGAAAGTCGCGGATTCACGTTGAGAATTCATCATGCTCCATAGAAAGTGAGGATGCAGACAATGGAGAAAAGGCTCTGGGACACAAGGAAGTAGTCTAAAGGTCTGGTCTTCACTATTATAAGAGGAAATGGGGGAAAATAAGGTGATAGAAATGCCCGGGAAGACAAATTAGGAGCAGAGAGGTAAACACTTGCGGATTCTCATTCCAGGCATCTCAGGAGGAAAAGCAGATGCAGCCCCAGACCCAGGACAGGATATTGACCTGAGAAGCTGCCATTTCCTCTTCTTCCTCCTGTTCTGTCTTCTCTGGGGATGTTATGCTGCAAACGCATTTCTGAGTTTTGAGAAAATACCTTTGAGGGCATCAAAACAGCTCTTTAACCTGCAACCACCTCTCCTACAGACAGAAGGACCTTGAAAAGCTGAGAAGACTGACCTATCCTGACCTGTCTCAGAAGAGATTCAGAAACAATCACTTCATTCCTGGAGACCAGCCTGTGAACTTATTTCTTGATTATTCTCTCCCCATAGAGAGCTCCTAACACCCTGCTCACACAGACAACCTGAGGGGACTGACTTCCCCTGTCCAAATCCAGTGAGACCAACCCTGTGGCCTCTCCTCAGACTGAAGCCAGGCCTCAGCGCTCACAGCTGGACCAGAAGCCACGTCCTTAACCTGAGCCTCCCCTCCTACACACCACACTGATGCTCCACAGGACCAACAGATAACTCTGTGGGGAGGTCATCTCCGAACACTGGTCACGTGATCCTGATGGGAAACCAGATGGAAACCACTTGGCTAAAGAGTTTTTCTGAAACATTTCAGTGAATACAAACTCCTGGAGTTCAGGTCCGCACTCTAAGAAGTTATGAATCTGCAGGTCTGCAGTGGGGCCATGAAAGGGGTCATCAGCAAGTCCCCTGCTTGTTCCGATGTTTCTCCCTGCAATCCAACATGCAGGAGCCCTGAGGCCGACTCCTCACACGCACCACACCTGAGACCTCTCTGTAGGGGAGGATTTAGGTCAGGAATTTCTGAGAGAGGTCAAAGCCAGAATCAGGCAGAAGAATCACCCGTACTTGGGGTTCAGCCTTTATACATGACCGTGGGTGAAGTGCTCTGGACTCCCTAGGCTGAGTTGGATTTCTCCATTCAAACCGAGAGAAGCAGGATTCTGGCGAGCTTTGTGAGGGTGTCACTGAATGGAGGGCCTGTGAAGTTGAACCTGCGGGTCAGTAAGACTGCTGATCTCGAGGAAGGTGGCCTTCTAGTGTAGGCTCTCACAGGGATGGCTGGTGTGAGTTCAAGGAACCGCAGGCTGCCTGCTCCCCAGACAGATGCTGAGGCAGCAACAGCATGGAGCAGTTCAGGTAAACTCTCAACAATATTCTGTATGATCCTTCTTATGAGAAGCATCACAATGTCTGAGTAGGTACAAAATGGGAGAGGAGATGCAACACAGAAATGATGAAAAATATATGAGGTCATGAGAGGTATAAAACTAGCAAGTAAACTAATTTCTACATATGCCATCTCTCTGTGCTAGCAAAAAACTTGTTATGGTCTCTTCACTACAACCTTAAACAAGGTGGGAGAGCTTATTGTTGGTGCTGGCTTATATTTCATTCATTACAATCAACCAAAACACTACAAACCATTCACTTTTATTAATAGCCATGTGTTAACATCACACAGTTGAAATAAATCTACAGTATGATCCATTATTAAATACACATCAAAAGTAGAGAAAGATATTCATTTTCTGAAATAATGATGTGTGGGTTCTGATTTTTATGGCTTACAAAATGAAGCCTAGGAAACACTTAGAAAATATGATATACACTAATTACATGTCTTTTCCAGGAAGAGATTCTAATACATCTCTGGGTTATCACAGAAGCTGTCTTTGTTTCAATATTGTTATGTACTATTCATGACTTGTGTTTATATTATAAAGATCCATCAATATTGTAGTGAAAAGTGATTGTGTTCTTACAAGTCAAATGATATAACTACTGAAAATTTATAACCAACTTCTGTCTTACTTTAAGACATGGAAAGATTCCATGATCACTGGCATCATGGTAACCTCCAGGGATATTTCACATCAATGACAAACACCTCCACTTAGATGGTCATTTTCCATTTTACATTATGGTATCCTTCATTGTCTCATGGAGAATAGATAGAAATGGTTGCAGCACAATATAAAAAGGTTAATCTTAGAAGCATAAACCATTAAAAACCCATGTTTGCATACACACTAGAAGCAAAGCATAATATGGATTATCTGAGAGTTTTATTGCATTCATTTCAAATAATCTCAAATCACATCATTATAAATAAGCATACATTGCTAATAATTGTAACTTTCTAACCATCAATCTTCGTCTCATGATCCATGCTAATATATCCATTTTCTGTGAGTTTTAACTATGTAGTACTCCCTACAGTAATTCTCCTTCAGAGAAACTTCAGAAAAGAAGTATTGATGGAATACTTTCTAATATGCAGTCTCTTATGTTTATTTACATTTGATTTTTTATTAAATACCTTTCTACATATTTGTTACATCATCTCCATAGGTTTCTTGGATTAAACCCTCATGTTTTCTGATGTATGTTTAGGACAAACCCCTTCCATCACTTGTTCCATTACAAGGGCTTCTCTCCAGTGTGTGCGCTCAGCTGTTTAGAGAGATGGCCACTGTGACTAAAGCCTTTTCCACATTCTGTACATTTATAAGGTTTCTCTCCAGTATGAACTCGCAGATGTGTAGTGAGAACTGATTTCTGATTAAAGGCTTTGCCACATTCTGTACATGTGTATCGTTTCTCCCTAGTATGGATTTGCAGAGGAGGCAATGGCACCCCACTCCAGTACTCTTGCCTGGAAAATCCCATGGATGGAGGAGCCTGGTAGCCTGCAGTCCATGGGGTCGCTAAGAGTCGGAAATGTCTGAGCAACTTCACTTTTCACTTTCATGCATTGGAGAAGGAAATGGCAACCCATTCCAGTGTTCTTGCCTGGAGAATCCCAGGGACGGGGGAGCCTGGCGGGCTGCCGTCTACGGGGTCGCACAGAGTCAGATACGACTGAAGCGACTTAGCAGCAGCAGCAGCAGCAGTATGGATTTGATGATATGCAGTTAAAGTTGAACTCCAAGTAAAGGCTTGGCCACACTCATGCAATGATTAAGGTCTCTCCGCAGTATGAATTCGCTGATGTCGAGTCAGCTGTGAGCAAGAGATAAAGACTGTCACATCCTTTACATTTATAACGTTTCTCTGCAGTATGAATTCACTGATGATGAGTAAGAGTTGAGTTCTGCTTAAAGCCTTTGCCACATGCTGTACATTTATATGGTGTCCCCCCAGTATGAATTCGCTGATGTCTAGTAAGAGCAGAAATGTTCATAAACGTCTTGCCACAATCTATACATTTATAATGCATCTCCCCCATATGAATCCGGTGATGTTTACTAAGATTTGAACTGGAAATAGAGGCTTTGCATATTGTGTACATTTATAACATTTCTCTCCAGTGTGAGTAATCTGATGTTGAGTGAGAAGTGAGTGACAGATAAACGCTTTGCCACATTGTGTACATTTGAAAGGTTTTCTTCCTATACTAACTTTCCTATGTCTACTTAGGTTAGACGAGTTACTAAAGTCTTTCCCACGTATCTGACACTTGTATTCTTTCTGTGGATTCTGAGTAGTCTGCTGTTGAACAAGTTCTGAAAACTGATTAGAAGCTTTACAGTATTGACTGCAATTATAAGTCTTCTCTCCAGGAGGAATAGTCTTCTTCAGAGAAAGACCTGATATCTGATAAAAGGTAGTTCTCCATTTAGTACTTTTAGAATCCCTGTGTGAAGATTCAGGTCCCTGATGTTTCAGAAAGTGTGAGTCTCCTTCAACCTCACACCCAGTTTCATTGCTTGATTACCTTCTCACATCATCATGAACACTCTTGTAATGGTTGGGGCTGGAGCTCTTATTTAAGGCTTGACTCATTTTATTACACATGGAAAGTTGCTCCATATTAGCCATATCATGATATGTACTGAGCAACGTTGGCTGGATTACATCTCTTCCATTATCATCAACATTATACATCACGGAATGGAGAGAAAATATCATTTGCTAGAAGAATAATGACTTCTGGCTCACAGATCCCTCAAATTGAGTATATTGTGAGTTTTGCCCCTCATTTTTAAATTTCACTGTTCAGACATGCTTCAGTTTAAGTCTATTTGAGGCTTACGTTCAGAATTGTTTGAATGAGTATTTGCAGTAGAGACTAAATTACCTTCCAAATATTTCAGGTTTCTGTTCAGAGAACAAGTATGTTTCAAAAGATGATGTAAATCTTTTCTTAAACACTTACACTTCTCAGCAGATGTTGAAGACTGAAATTGGTGTCTTCCCTAATTTGACTCATGTTGCTCCTTTCTTTTTGCATTATTGTTAGCATTATGTATAACTGTCTCAATTTCTTTATGTCCTTATAAACATCTTCTCTGTCTTTCAAATGCTCTTGTATATTCCCAGTATTTTGTTAAATTAAAGTTTCTGAGGTGAAATCTTTCATATATTTCGAGGTTTGCTTCTGGGAACAAATCTTCTATCCTTGGTTTCTTTGGCACCAAATCCTGGTGTCTTAGGGAGAGATAGCTGGAAGATATCAAATAACAAGTAATTTTGCCTACTATGCTCAGTGAACATCCTTCAAGATTTAGAGAAAATTGATGAACCCTTCACTAGTTTAAAAGTAAAATAGAGACAGAAGGATCAATATGCCAGAGGATCTCTCTCCACAAACACATGAAGAATACACAGAGCCCAGGTGGCCACTAGCAGAGGCCCTTGGAAATCTACAAGGACTGTTACATTCCTGCTGAGCCAGGTAGGGCAAGAGATAGAAGAAGGAAAAGGAAGAGGAGAGGAAGTGGGATGGGGCCTGCAACCCTGGGGGGACATGAAAGAGGGGAGCATCTCCACATCCGGGGAAGGCCCTAATCGGGGAGCTCAATTTGGACAGAAGGAGAGCCTCATTCTCTGTGGGAGAGAACATGGCAACCCGCGTGTGGCAGCAGGACAGGGAGA